AGGAGGAGGAGGAGGAGGAGGAGGAGGAGGAGCATCCTTCCTTCTCCTCTGGCTTACCTATGGTGGTGGTGGTGGTGGTGGTGGTGGTGGTGGTGGTGGTGGTGGTGGTGGTGGTGGTGGTGGTGGTGGTGGTGGTAATTCGGCCCATCACCCCAAGGGCGTGGAGATGGTCGCGAGTCGCGCACGGCGGCTCGGGCAGGCGAGGCGCCCTCCTCCAAGGCGGCCTCGCGACGGCGCGAAGGTAATGCTGCGCCTCGCGCACCGCGGGGCGCCGTGCGCGAAGTCGGGGTGGCCGAGCGCGCCCACAGCGGACCTGCACCTTTGGCATCGCTCGGACGTGTGAGTTTTTTTCGCCGAGGGCCATCGAGGAGCATCCTGGACCATCCTGCGGACAAGAACCCGCACGAAATCGAAGAATGCGCGGGGAATGGAAGTCCGAGCGACGGCGAGTATTTGGAAGGCCTTACGGCCAGTGCCGCCGATCTTTAAAGGGGACGACGACCGCGACAGCGACGTCGACGGCGTCGACGACGCTTACGTGGGGCAGAGTCCTCTGTGATGCTTCGTGGGACCTCTTCGGAGTGCGCTCATAGGCCTCTGGGGAGCAGTTTTGGGGTCTCTCGGGAGCAATGGCAAGGCACAGGCTACCGGACATCTGGCGCTTCGATGTTTTCGAGACGGGCCCCCGACCTCTCGACCACTTCCCCTGGACCAGTTTTTCATCCCGAGTTGTTTTTTGACGGTCCCGAGGCCCAGAAGGGGCCCTGGAGGCCGAAAATTATGAAAATTGGTGTCTCGATTTGTCCCAAAATCCTGTGATATTGGGTCCTCGTTTTGTAGAGACAACACCCCGCGTTCACTCCTCCTCCCGCTGCCCCCTCCCTCCTCCCCAGCGCCCAGTGCAGCACTTCGTGGCCCCATGGGGAGCTCCACCGAAGGTCCCGGTGGCAGAATTCGCATGGCGGCCCCGCCCCATTTCGGCGCACTCCTCACACGCTTCGTGGCGCCATAGGGAGCTCTACCGAAGGTCCCAGAAGCAGGGTTCGCCTGGCGGCCCTGCCCCATTTCGACGCACCCCTCACACGCTTCGTGGCGCCATAGGGAGCTCCGCCGAAGGCCCCAGAGGCAGGGTTCGCATGGCGGCCCCGCCCCATTTCGACGCACCCATCACACGCTTCGTGGCCCCATAGGGAGCTCCGCCGAAGGCCCCAGTGGCAAGGTTCGCATGGCGGCCCCTTGCCATTTCGACACACCCCTCACAGCGCCATAGGGAGCTTCACCGCACGCACCCAAGTGGCAGGGTTCGCATGGCGGCCCCGCCCCGTTTCGCCGCACCCCTCACATGGTGGCCCCATAGGGAGCTCCTCCGAAGGCCTCAGTGGCAGGGTTCGCATGGCGGCCCCACCCCATTTCGTCGCAACCCTCACATGCTTTCGGGCGGGGGGCCCCCATAGGGAGCTCCGCCGAAGGCCCCAGTGGGCACAGGGTTCGGCTATGGCGCCCGCCCGTTTAGCCCGCACCCCTACTGCTTCGTGGCCCCATAGGGAGCTCCTCCGAAGGCCTCAGTGGCAGGGTTCGCATGGCGGCCCCACCCCATTTCGACGCACCCCTCACATGCTTCGCGGCCCCATAGGGAGCTCCGCCGAAGGCCCCAGTGGCAGGGTTCGCATGGCGGCCCCGCCCCATTTCGACGCACCCCTCACATGCTTCGCGGCCCCATAGGGAGCTCCGCCGAAGGCCCCAGTGGCAGGGTTCGCATGGCGGCCCCGCCCCATTTCGACGCACCCCTCACCTGCTTCGCGGCCCCATAGGGAGCTCCGCCGAAGGCCCCAGTGGCAGGGTTCGCATGGCGGCCCCGCCCCATTTCGACGCACCCCTCACCCGCTTCGTGGCCCCCATAGGGAGCTCCGCCGAGAGCTGTACTCACAATGCGGTACCCCCAAGTGCAGATGGCTGGGCCCCTCGCCAGGATAACTTCGAGACGCCCGATGTCTGGGCTTGGTCGCCCGAGCGATGGCAGGGCACAGGCCTGGCGGCTCTGCCACTCCGGGGCGCCGTCGTCCCCGAGGCCCGGCGCGCAGCTGCGGTCGTCTGAGGTGGTCCGGGGCCCTCCCCCTCCTCCTCCTCCTCCTCCTCCTCCTCCTCCTCCTCCTCCTCCTCCTCTTTCCTCCTTCTCCTCCTCCTCTTCTTCCTCCTCCTCCTCCTCCTCCTTCTCCTCCTCCTCCTCCTCCTCCTCGTGCGGCTGTTACCGGGGCGGGGCGCGGCTCTTCCTCAGCGCGTGGGGACCGAGGATAGACCCAGAGATCCGACGTCTACGCTGCAACAGAAATGGGAGCGGGCGGTTTTTGGCCGTCTTCGGCCTCTGGGGGCCCCCGCCGGGCCTCGGGAGCGCCAGCAAACGATCCAGGACGAGAGCATGGCCCATGGGGAGGTGGTCCGGACCTCTGGGGCCCACGCATCGAAAAAATTGAGCAGCCGGATGTCTGGGGAGAGAAGAGCGGACGATGGCAAGCTATCGGTGCGGTCGCGCCACACTTGGCATCCTGCCCCTCCCACCCATCCCCTTCCCACAGCGCTGCTCTTTCTTTGGCAACCGACACAATCATAGCGGACCTGGAACTTTAACGATGAAACAATCGTGTTATGCGCAATCGCAGAAAAAGTAAAAAAGTGAGCTGCGTACATGCGAGGAAGAGGTGGCGGATAAGCAGGAGGTTGAGCAGGAGGGAGAGGCGGACGAGGGAGGAGGACGAGGACGAAAAGCAGCAGCAGGAGCTGGAGTGGAAGGGGCGGGAGAAGCAGGAGGATGAGGGGAAGGCGGAGGAGGGGAAATGATAGGGGCGACAATGATGAAGAAGAACTCGGATCCAGGAAAGTGGCCCGCGCTGGGACGAGAGTGCCATTCTGAACGAGGGTAGCAGAGCGCCGATCCGAAAATGAGGTTCACGCTGCACCAGGAGCACCATTCTAAGCCACCGAAAACCATCGGATTGCAAACAACACATAAGAAAAACAATGTTTGAAATCCTGTGTGATAAAACCAATGCGTGGAGAGGGCCGAACATCTTCTGGACAGTCTCAGGCAGGAGGTGAGAGTAGTGGGTACAGTAATATTCCGTAGAGTGTAATGGCGACGACGACGAAAACGTGACCCCCGACATCGCCAGGGTTTTTTTCTTTCCTCCGCGGAAACCGGACCCCCTGGGTTCTTCGGCGCTCCCCATTTTTTTTTTCTTTCCGGTTGGGCCTCCATGGGTCTTAGGTTGGAGTCACCCGGGTGATATTTGTTCGAAGAGCGGCCCCAGCGGTGCTGACCTGTTTCCGGGGGATCGTTTTTCGTCCCGGACCCATGTTTAATAGTCCCGGTCTCCGACAACAGGCTATTGAGGCCGAAATTCAGGAGAAACGTCCGGGCTGAACAAATAATTTCGTCGGAGATCGAGGATGACCATGGCGGTGGAGGCGACGATGAAAAGACGGCTGTGACGACGACGGCCACGACAGCGGCGACGACGGCGTGGAGGCCACACGATCCTGACGGGCTCGTGGCGCGCCGAGGAGCAGTTGCAGCTGTGGGACTTCCGAACGAGTCGGCTGCTGTCGTCCCCGCCCTGGCGCCCTCAGGCCATCGGCGGCGTCGTCGTCGTCGTCGTCGTCGTCGCAGTCGCGGTCTTTTGTCGTCATCATCATCGTCGTCGTCGTCTGCGATTGCGTCGTCGTCGGCGGCGGTGGCGGCGTCGTTTTAGCAGTTGCCGTCGCCGTCGCGTCGTGGGCGTCGTAGTCGACGTCGGTGCCTCCGCCGTCGTCATCATGGTCCTCGTCCTCGCCGTCGTCTTTGCCATCTCATTCAGTCATCTACATGGTCGTGTCGTCATCGGCGTCGCAGTCGAAGAGGGGGAATGGGAATGAGAAGTGGGGAGGAGGAGGAAGAGGAGGAGGAGGAGGAGAAGGGATGAGCGGGAAGAGGGAGGAAGGGGAGGTGGAGGAGAAGGAGGAGGAGGAGGAGGAGCATGATAAGGTGGAGGAGGAGGGGGAGGCATTCGGAAGACCTCGGAGTTCTCAAGAGGTTAGCAGAGGAAGTTCCTGGAAGTCCCACAGGGTCCTCGAAGGACGGTGCCGGCCTCCAGAGAAGCGAGCAGCGGCACAAATGGCCAGAAAATATCGACCCTCGAACCTCGAGAGGAGCAAATGATGATGGAGGAGGAGGAGGAGGAGGAGGAGGAGGGGGGAAGTAATCGTCGTCGTCGTCGCAATGTGGTCGTCGTCGCCTTTGACATCGCAGACGTAGTCGTCGCAGTCCTCGTCGCCGCTGTCGCCGCTGGCGACGTCGGCGTAGTTGTTGATGGACACATGCGCTGGCAGCCGTCCCCCCCCACACCAATACCTACTGACACCCCGACAGACCCCCAGAGGGGGCCTTCGGCCCTCCCTAGGGGTGAGGCCGGGTGCTAGGAGGGGGGGGGAGGAGGGGGGAGGAGGAGGGGGGAAGAGGGGGGGGGAGGCGGACGGGGAAGAAGAGCAAGGGGGGGGGGCGGAGGGGTGGAGGAGGGGGGAGGTGGAAAATGAACGAGGAGGAGGGGGCGGAGGGGGAGACGGAGGGGGAGGTGGAGGGTGGAGGCGGAGGGGGCCGAAGGGCCCCCCTTGGGGGTTTGTTGGCGTGTCAGTGTTGATGCGAGGGGGCCTTTTGTTTCTCGGAGTCGTGCGGGATTCAAGAGAAAATCTTGTGATTTCTGAGAATTCCGAGAGGCTGCTGCAGGTTTCCGCGGAGCTCCCGAAGGAGGGTCTGAGGATGGGCTTCCCTTTTTTTTTCCTGTGGCCTTTTTTTTCTGTGGGGGGCTGTTGTGCCCGTTCGCGCCCTTTTTTTTCCTGTGCCCTTTTTTTTTTTTCTCCTGCTGGCCGGTCTGTAGAAAACCCTTTATTTTTTTCCTGTGGACAATTTTTTTTTTCCTGTGGCTCTTTTTTTTTTTCCTGCCCGGGGGGGCACTGGCTGTGCGGGGGGACGACTCTGGGGGGGGAGGAGGGGGGACCGACGAGAACCCCCTTTTTTTCCTGCGACCTTTTTTTTTTTTCCTGCGACCCGTTTTACCTAACAGCGAAGACTGATAGGTTTCTAGTGGTGTCAAAAGAGAGCATCATGACTCCTCAGGGGGGTCGGGGCGGGACCCGGGGAGGCTGCCGCCGAAGCCGAAATCATTTGGGACATCCTCGCAAAATCGCTCTTGGTGCTCCCAGAACTCAATTCCCGGGCCACATTTTGGATGCCCGGAGCCAACTGTAGGCCACTTCGTGCTCTTCGAACTTTCCCAGAAACTCCATTCCTGGCTCACATTTTGGATGAACGGCTAGGTGCCAGCTGTAGGCCTACTTGTGCTCATTTCAGTTCCCAGACTCCATGCCAGGCAACTTTTTGGATGTGACCGAGCCAACAGTAGGCACTTGTGCTCATTTTTTTTTCGGGTTTTTTTTTTTTTTTTTTATTTTCCCACCACAGAAAACTCTTTTCAGGGGCAATTTTGGATGCCCGGAGCCAACTGTAGGCCACTTTGTGATCTTCAAGTTCCCAGAACTCCACTCCTGGGCCACATTTTGAATGCTGAGGCAGGCTGATGCTGCGGCCGAGGCAGGCTGAGGCTGAGGCAGGCTGAGGCTGAGGCCGAGGCTGAAGGCAGACTGAGGCTGAGGCTGAAGCAGACTGAGGCTGAGGCTGAGGCAGGCTGAGGCTGAGGCTGAAGCAGGCTGATGCTGAGGCAGGCTGAGGCTGAGGCTGAGGATGATGCAGGCTGAGGCTGAGGCAGGCTGAGGCTGAGGCCGAGGCTGAAGGCAGACTGAGGCTGAGGCTGAAGCAGGCTGAGGCTGAGGCTGAGGCAGGCTGAGGTGAGGCAGGCTGATGCTGAGGCAGGCTGAGGCTGAGGCTGAGGCTGATGCAGGCTGCGACTGCCGTTGCCGCTGGCGACTGTCATCAGTGAATGCGACTACGGACTGCGAGTATATACATGCAGAATTCTACAACTGGATTTTACTTAACAGCCTTAAGGGGAATGCTTTTCAGATATGCTTCTACACATCGCTGTTAGGTTGCTTTGCCGGGATAATTTTTTTCCTGCGGGGCGAGGGGGGGGGGGCGTGCTCCCTGGGGGCCCTGACAGGCTGTGGAGGCGCTGGAGGGGGGAGGCGCCAGAGGGGGGCCCCGGGGGGGGCCCGGGTGGAGTCGCCGGAGAGGAGCCCGGGGGAAGGCGGGGGGGGGCGGGGAGGTGCCAGAAGGGGGCTCCGGGGGGGGCCTGGGGATATCGCCGGGGGGAGGATCCCAGGAGGGGCACCCCCGGGGAGGGAGCCGGGGAGGCGCTGGAGCTTGACGTTTTGCTTTCAGCGCATTTTGGGCTGCAATGTGAGGACCGACCGCAGCCGGAGCGCAGAAAAAAAAGGAGTGTAGTGCCTCGCGGTGCTGTGGCGGGCGGGCAGTCCTAGTGCCCCTCTTGAAGGCAGAGCCGGGCGGTCGGGCGGGCGGGCGGGTCGGGGAGGGCGGTCGGGCGGGGGGGCGGTCGGGCGGGCGGGTCGGGTTTTTCAATAGACTTCTATTGGGTGCTCTCTGGCAGCGGGGTCTGTGGAGTAGTGGGTGCTTTCTTGGACACGGAGTCTGTTGAGTAGTTGGTGCTCTTTTGGACACGGACTCTCTTGAGTAGTGGGTGCTCTCTTGAAGGCAGAGGCGGGCGGTCGGGCGGGCGGGTCGGGGAGGGCGGTCGGGCGGGGGGGCGGGCGGGCGGGCGGGTCGGGTTTTTAAATGAACTTCTAATGGGTGCTCTCTGGCAGCGGGGTCTGTGGAGTAGTGGGTGTACTCTTGGACACGGAGTCTGTTGAGTAGTGGGTGCTCTCTTGGACACGGAGTCTGTTGAATAGTGGGTACTCTTTTGGACACGGAGTCTGTTGAGTAGTGGGTGCTCCCTTGGACACGGAATCTGTTGAGTAGTGGGTGGTGCTTTCTTGGACACGGAGTCTGTTCAGTAGTGTGTGCTCTCTTGAAGGCAGAGGCGGGCGGTCGGGCGGGCGGGTCGGGGAGGGCGGTCGGGCGGTCGGGCGGGTCGGGTTTTTAAATGGATTTCTACTGGGTGCTCTCTGGCAGCGGGGTCTGTGGAGTAGTGGGTGCTCTCTTGGACAGGAGCATGTTCAGTAGTGGGTGCTCTCTTGGACACGGACTCTCTTGAGTAGTGAGTGATCTCTTGGACACGGAGTCTGTTGAATAGTGGGTGCTCTCTTGGACACGGAGTCTGTTGAGTAGTCGTGCTCTCTTGGACACGGAGTCTGTTGAATAGTGGGTGCTTTTTCTTGAACACGGAGGTTGTTGAGTAGTGCGTGTTCTCTACGACACGGAGTCTGGGCGGATGAACGGTGACACGAACGTAGGCGGCAACACGAGGACGACGAGGGTCAAAGCCGCCACTGCAGCGCCCCGACACCGCAGCCCCCGGAGGAGCACATGCCAAGGAAACCCGGGCCACAGCACCCGGAGAAACACCCGCGTAAGAGCCTAACGAAGAGCTTCGATCCAGATCCCAAAGCCCCGAATTCGAACTCTGGAACCAAGCAGTCCAGCAAGCCGCGCTGTCAACGGACGGCGTCGTGGCCGACAAAACAACGCGGTTTCGGGCCCCATGATTGCGAAGCAAACTGCGCGGAAGTCTCGAGCGGGGGGCAGGCTGCAGCCCGCCAAAAGCTGCTTTCTTGGACACGGAGTCTGTTGAGTAGTGGGTGCCCTCTTGGACACGGAGTCTGTTGAGTAGTGGGTGTTCTCTCGGACAAGGAGTTTGTTGAGTAGTGGGTGCTTTCTTGGACACGGAGTCTGTTGAGTAGTGGGTGCTCTCTTGGACACGGAGTGTGTTGAGTAGTGCGTGCGCTTTTGAAGGCAGAAGGGGGCGGTCGGTCGGGCGGGCGGGCGGGTCGGGGAGAGCGGTCCGGCGGGGGGGGGCGGTCGGGCGGGCGGGTCGGGTTTTTCAATAGACTTCTAGTGGTTGCTCTCTGGCAGCAGGGTCTGTGGAGTAGTGGGTGCTTTTTTGGACACGGAGTCTGTTGAGTAGTAGGTGCTCTCTTGGACACGGAGTCTGTTGAGTAGTGGGCGCTCTCTTGAACACGGAGGCTGTTGAGTAGTGTGTGCACTCTTGAAGGCAGAGGCGGGCGGTCGGGCGGGCGGGTCGGGGAAGGCGGGGGGGCGGTCGGGCGGGCGGGTCGGGTTTTTAAATCGGTTTCTAGTGGGTGCTCTCCGGCAGCGGGGTATGTGGAGTAGTGGGTGTTCTCTTGGACACGGAGTCTGTTGAGTAGTGGGTGCTCTCTTGGACACGGAGTCAGTTCCATAGTGGGTGCTCTCTTGGACACGGAGTCTGTTGAGTTGTGGGTGTTTTTTTTGGCCCGGAATCTGTTGAGTAGTGGGTGCTCTCTTGGGCAAGGAGTCTGTTGAGTAGTGGGTGCTGTCTTGGACACGGAGTCTGTTCAGTAGTGTGTGCTCCCTTGAAGGCAGAGGCGGGCGGTCGGGCGGGCGGGCGGGCGGGGGAGGGCGGAGGGCGGTCGGGCGGATCGGGTTTTTAAATAGATTTCTATTGGGTGTTCTCTTGGACACGAAATCTGTTGAGTAGTGG